AAAAAAAAAAAAAAAAAAAAAACAGAAGAAGAAAGGAACTCTCACACACTGCAAGCACTCCAGACTGCACCCCTGTCTGCATATGAGCATATTGTTTCAGTTTTCCAAGGCAGCACTCTTTGCCGGTGGTATTTCCTAGCGTTGCTCACCGAATTTTTTGGTTATACACAGAATATTTTCTGACTTCCATCTGAAGTTATGGTGAATTTTGGAGCATCAGTGCTTGAAACAACCACATTACAATCATTGCTATCCTTGATAGAAGACGTTATGCTCTGAACTGTTCCTCGTCCTTTGAGCCGAAATCATTGCTAGGATGATCTATTTAAAAAAAAAAATTGGAATTTTATTTGTTTACAGATCCTTTATGGTTTTTTTTTTTGTGTTTCTACTTTTCACGACCAGAAGTCCCACCACTGGCCATTGGTATTGGACTGACTGAAAAGCCCTTCAGACTCTAAATTGCTCCAATTTGGTGTTGATATCAAGGAGCCCTGAGCAGGTTCCCTGAACTGGGGCTCGTCTAATCCAAGATAGGCTTCCTTTGTGCCACTACCATAGTTGGAAAGAACCTCTAGTTCATGTTCTGATTTCTCCTCAGCTGACACACAAGGTTTTACTTCAGACTCATACTTTGTTCTGTGGCCATTTTCAGACTTGCCATCAATAGTTTCTAAGGAGAGACCTCCCCTGCAGCTCTCAGTTTCCTCCATGGACCTCTGCACGAGATCATTTAGCTTCTGCAACTGGCCGAAGTAAAGAAATAACAATGATTAGCAAAAACTAGAAACGGACGGTGTTTTTCTATAGAAACAAAGAACAAATACCTGTATAGCCAAAGCTTGCTTTTCCTTCTTAAGAGCTTCAAACCGGGAAACTAGAGTGTTGTAATTAGCTCGTAAAACGCTGTAGTCTCGTTCAAGCTGCTTTGACTTCCATCTAGCTCTCTTGTTTTGAAACCATATTGCAACCTGGCGTGGATGCAACCCCAGCTCTCCCGCTAGCTGCAACTTCTTTCTGGGCTCAAGCCTTGACTCAGACTCGAAAATTGACTCCAATGATTTGATCTGCTCTTCACTGAACCTTCTTCTGTTCATGCTTTTTTTTCTCATGCCAAAAGCCTCTGCCATGGATTCTGGAGGAGAATATTCGGCATCATCATCATTTAGCATGCTGCTTAAGATTCAATTTGGACACCACAAGGCTTTATTCCAAAACCAGGTGTTAGGAGAGTGAATGATTTGCAATATCTCTAATATATTTGCTCACTTATTTTATGCATCATTTATATCCAAGTCTGGTGGGGTCCTTGATAGAAAGAGAGAATTTCTTTCTTGGCTAGGGAAGGTTATTATTTTCTCCTCTGTTTCGGATAATTCTATTGGTNTTTTTTTTCCTCGGATTTTTTTTTTTTTTTTTTTTTTTTTTTTTTTTTGTTTTTGTTTTTGTGTGTGTGTGTGTGTATTCAGGAAAAAAGAAAAAGTATCGTATTTTATGATTTGTTTTTCTTTTTTGTAATAGGATCTGAGTAGCCTTGTGAATGTAATTAGATGTATATTACAAGTATTTTGTTTTTCTAATTTGTTTCAGAATATATTGTGCATAGCTTTTAATTAAAAGTATTTACCAATCTTTTTACGTTATTTGACCATACAGTTGAAGCCAAGCCGTAGACCAGACCTTGAGACAACTTGAGGCAGGGGGAAAATAATGAGGTACTTGATACTTCATAGCTTAATCTTGTTTTACGGGTTCATTTAGAGCCCCTTTAATACCTAATTAGTTTTTTTTTTAGTTTAGGTTTTAATTTTCTGTTTTTTTTTTTTAAAAAAAGGAAGTTCATTTGATAAGTAATTTAGTTTTTGAATTTAACATTTTAAAGAGGTTTTTTTGATTCCTAGAAATCTTGAAATTAGTGTTATTTACTGGAACAAAATATTGTGGGTAATTTTAGAGATGACAGACCTAAAGAGTGTATATTATATCGAATTAGTAACAAAATTACTCACCTATCCATACTCCATATTATAAAACACATATATAGTAAAAAATTGATGATAAACTTTAAGCATTAAACATACTTGATAGGGTGGTAAGGCTTGTTTTTGTTGTTTTTATTTTTTATTTTTTATTTTAAAAAACAGTTGTACAATTTGTGATATTCTTACTTCTTTTGTTAAAAAAAAAAAAAAAAAATGTTGTGAAAAGCTATAAGAAATTTAACAAAGGTAGACATTGCTACATTTATTTAAGTCGACCGAATTGAAATTCAAAGTGACAATTGACGTTTTATATTAAATTGAGGTGGAAATAATTAGGATGTTGGAGAGAAAAAAAAATTGTGAACCAAACTAGGACTCTGCCAGACCCGGTTATCCCATTTTTTTTTAAATATTATTATTATTAAACCAACATAATATTTAAATTGGCAGTTTTATTATTTAACAACTTGATTAATTTGATATGTTTGAACCATATAATTGAATATTTGGACGACAAATATTGACAATTAGATAATTTGATAGGTTAATTATTATTATTATTATTATTATTACTATTGTTTTTTTATTATTATATTAGGAGGCTCAAGAAGTTTCTCTTTAAATGAGAATTTTTCGGTGAAATACTAAAAATTAACTATTTAATTTTCTTTTTTTTTAAATCTTCCCATACTTTTTTTAAAAAAATAACAGGAATTGATTCTATACAGGGAACTTGATCCCTCCATGTTTGAGAATGAAAAATAAATTTGAAAACCGTTTTAAAAAATTACCAGTTTTAGGAAATAAAAAAATCAAAACACTAATGAACAAAGATTTCTTGTGTTCAATCAAATTATCCAGTTTCAAAATGATAATAAGTATTTTATGATTAATACTTAATTATTATAGTAAATTATTAAATATATTAGTATATCAATAATTTTTGTCAATCTTATTGATTTAAGGCTTGTCCATATCTGCATAATAGTTAATACCAAATACATGAATCATGTCCCTTCCATCCCACTCATATTTTAATATTAATGTTTTGACATACTTTTTATTTAGAAAATTTTAATAATTTAAAAATCGGTTCTAGAGCTTTGTAGTTTATTTGAAAAATAAACCAAGAATATTGTGGGGATTAGGTTGAGTCACCGTAGCATGGGACCCCACTTTAGCTTTCTTTATTTCCTTAAAATTCAAAAACCCTTTTTTTTTCTTTTTTTTGCAAATTAAAAAAAAAACAATAATAAATTAGCAACCAATAAGATAAGTTGCCCAAGGACAAGTACCCCTTACCTGTCACACGACAGCCAATGGGATGTCGCCATATGCACCAAAGTCAAGCTTAGCGTCTCGACACGTCTTTCATCATTTTGTGTCCGGTGACGTGGCGGACTGTGAGTGGATAATGGCTGAGTCACTTGTCTAAATACTCGACACGTTTCAGGGTCTTGCTTTATCAGCTTCCGAGTCTTGCAAGGCAACAAATTACTCGAGTGCTGGTTTCTCTCTTTTTTTTCTTTTTTTTTTCTCCTTTCCTTAAGCAACTTCTGCGTGCTCGCCACGTGGAGCGATTTCAACCGTAGCTTTTTGAAAGAAACGTCGCAGATATTTTTCTTATATTAATTTTATTATTCTTATTTTGGTTAAAACAACGTTTTGAAACTTTGTTTCCCTTTACTGTACTACGAGGTTTTGGAGTTGGGATTTGAAAAGATCTTTAATTCACATATGGTTATCAAAATTGTTTAAATTTTTACGAGTTTCAATGTTACCCAATTACGTTTTAGTTTTGATAAATTTGTAACAAATTTATAACTTTTTACTTTAAATTTGAATAATTATTGCAATTTTTATTCTTTGAATTATTTCCATTTCCATTTGAAAGGTTTAATTGAAAATTTTTAAAAATATATTTTATGTTTAGTATGAAACTAGTGATATTTAATAGAAAAGCAATGCTAAAATGTAGCCATTTCAAAATTAAACTAATAATTTATGCCCCATGACTACCTTTTGCATAAGTTGCTTTCAATGGATAAACCATTCCTTTTCACTGAACTAATACGGTTGAAAACTGTGTATAGAGAAAAGCAATTTAATTATTTTATTTTCCATATTATGAAAACCACTAGTTGATGTAGCTTGTTTTTAATTTATTGGGAAAGTTGTGACATAGTTCAGTATATATCATATAGTTTAGTAAACATTTTTATGAAACAAGATATTGACACCATTCCTATTAGAATCTGATGCATTTTATTTTTTTGTTTTTTGTTTTTTGTTTTTAACATTTTGTACTTACAAGAAGTAGGATATATGAACTTAAACCTACTGAATACGGTCAGGGTGTTTGTAGCTCTAAAATTATTACTCTTCACACATCTTTTGCCCAATATAGATTCCAAGAAATCTTAGCTTGTCTTGGATTATGTTGACCAAACTTAGTTAAACAAAACTTCAACCTCCTGAGCAGCACAAAAATCCAAAAAGCATAAAGAACATAAAATTCTTTCTCATGCCTTATTAAAGAGCTTGGCCAGGTGGGTTGTTGATAATGAATGAGGAATAGGGGTTGATGTCATTAGTTGAGGTAATAGTGTGTAATCGTATAGTTCCCTTGGCTTTCATTTTCACAAGGCCGTGCCTCCTCTTCTCTTCAATATTCCACCCTCCAATTGTCAGTTCCTGAGTGAGAGACAGAGAGTGACGCCTGTTTTTATCTGTATTAGGCGGTTTGGGTTTGAGTTGTGATAAATTCGGATCACTTATCCTGTTTTTGCTTTGGGGGTAAGATTTCTGAACACAACCAATCTGAAACTTCAGAGTGGCAAAAACCAATGTTATCCCAAACAAAGTCAAATTTGTGTGCTGGAGACGACATGCAATAAAAAACTGCCACTTCAAAACCCCTCCCCTCACTTCATCTACACTGCCCCCAAAGGATTGGATTAAGCTTCATGGCGTAAAGAGGGAGGCATTGTCATTTTTGGGCTTACATCTCTTTTGGTTTTCTAGTCTGTCTAGGATTAATCGGTAGAGAGTAATATAATATTACCCATCCGTACTTCAAAACCATTCAATTCATCTCAATTTCTCTGTCATTTTTGTTGTTTGGTTGTTTGTTCCTTTATCTTCATATGCTCTTTTTAGCATTCTGCGCCTCTCTCAAACAACTTTTATTTTGGAAAATGTGTTGATGGCAAAGCGGTAATAAAAGATTTATACATTGTTTGGTAAAGAGATGGTCGATGTGGTTTAAGAAAGGACGTTTGTTATGAGAAGTTGTGAAAGTCCAGAAAATTGTATATAGTTTTGAGATGGGGTTGAGTTGTTTCAAACAAATTAGTACATAGACCTTCTTATAGCTCAAACTCCTGAAGAAATCAAACTAAGCCTACCTAATTTAGTTCAAACACGTGTCCTTAAGCAAGTGATAAAAGATTCGAATTTCTTTACCAATCACCCCATATGTTCCCATATGTTGATTATATTAGTGAAGGACCCAAATCAAAACCAAAATCATAAAAACTGGTACCCAAAGTGAGCAATCTTCTATTAGATAAGTAAATGACTCGCAATCATTTTGGCCCAAATAAGAGACTCAAGATAAACTAGTCCTTCTGAAATTTTTCTTTTTACTTGTTTTTTAATTTATTTAATTCATGTTTTTGTTTTATAGGTACCTATATTTTTTAAGGTATCCAATTGGTCTTTTGACCTTTAATTGTGTTTAACTGGCTTTTAATTTTTTTTTTTTTTTTAAATGTCAAATAGGCCTAATGAATTTATTAGGCATGGAGTTGAATTATATCTATTGAGTCATTAAAATTTCAATTTTTGTATTTAATACTTTGATTAAAATATTAAATTTGTGATTTGGGGGTATTTTAGTCATTTAAAATATTATTTTTTTTAAAATTTTTTTTCAATAACAAATACATTTTGCTATTTTTTTAAATGCAGCATTAAATTTGGCTAATTATATTGTTAACCCAAAGATGTGGAAAATCATTCGAATTCAACTGTCTTTCAGTTTTCTTTTCTAAAGCCTCTCTTTTCAGTTATGATTCAATTATTATCAAGTATTTAATTGGTTAATATACTTGACGAGTGCTTCTTGAGAGCATGCTATGTTGAACACTGTCATAAGCCCTATTCTCTAGGACCAAGACCTATTCTCAAGGTCTTTTTTTTGGCTTGTTAGTTTATCTTTAGGTTTAGCAGAAGGCTATATAATGCCATTCTTTCTGCTGTTGAAATCATTAAGTTTTGAGTGTCATATTGTA